TTGAGCCTCAAGTTGACAGAAAATAACAATTGAACCCAGAATTGTAAGCCACCCACCATATGAGAAGGGTCAATAAAATTTCCATATAAAGCATCATCCTAGCCCACATATTGATCGTTCAAACCTAGGGCCCCATTCTTTTGGAAACTATAGAGGGAAGACTATTTTCCTCACATGTATTATCCTCTTCGCGTATCTATGAATGATTGGTCATGTATTTACTCTTATATTTATTGAAAGCAATCTGTACTTCTCAAGACCATTTCCAATGGAATTGTCCGCTTGTTAGATCAGCTTCACTTTTTTTCTTATTTTTAAGAACCGGTACTTATATAAGCAATTTTGATAAATTTTAAACAACTCACTTACTCTTTAAGCTAATGTGGTAAATGGAGTTACTTATAAGCAACCCTATTAAAAGTACTCAAAGATAGCCCTCAAAATGAGAATCATTGCCTTGGGAAAGAACATAAGAATTTAAAACACGTCCCATCAACTGGTTCCATAATTTGTACCATTGCCGGTACGTGTTCCTCTAAAATTAGTTGATTTTTTAAAAGATGAGTTTACAGTTTGCCCATTACCAACAGTTAAATCCACATTGCCGACTCGTATGGAATTTCATTACCGACAGTTAAATCCACCCCAAAATTCCTGATCCATTCAGCCATAAAAAAAAAATGATAAAAGAACCAGAATATATACTGTTTGTCATTGAAGCAGTGAGAAACATGAAAGCGAGAAAACAGGAAGAATAAGGATATATATAGGTAGAATACATAGGAAGACTTTACGTGCTAATAATTTGCGTTGTCAAGAATGTATTTGTAAAAGAATTCATATTAATAATTATAGATAGCAGATGTTAATTATTAATTTGATATGAATTTTGGGTTGCTTGCCACAACGAGTTATTTTATGGTATTTGTCTGAGGAGATATTTTATGAGAATTATTTTTATAAGGTTATTATACAAACATACTCCACAATGATGAGATATTGTCCGCTTTGGACCTTAGCTCTCACGGTTTTGCTTTTGGTCATTATCCAAAATATCTCTCAATCATTGAAGTATGTTTGTATTATATAGATATTGTCCGCTTTGGACCTTAGCTCTCACGGTTTTGCTTTTGGTCATTATCCAAAATATCTCTCAATCATTGAAGTATGTTTGTATTATATAAGTTGTTATTTGTTGTGTTATTTTATTGATGTGAGATTTGTTTGTATCCCAACAATCCTCCTCTCAAATAAGAGACCTAACATTTCATGCAGCGGAATCTATCTTTATGTATTACATTATATGTGTTAGAATAGTGGATTAAGCCTAACTCAACCCTACAAAACCGGCTTATAAGGTAAGGGTTGCTTTCCACTTATATATTATTCAATTGCCTAATCTCTAGTCGATGTGGGACTTGGGTTTTTCCCAATACACCCCCTCACGTCCAGCACTATTGGGCTTGGTACGTGGATAAATGGTGGGTGGCCCTTTTTAATGATCTAGGATTGGCGGGACTTGGGTTTTTCCCAATACACCCCCTCATGCCTGTGAGACATGCATCAATGGTGGGTGGCCCATTTTTAAAGTGGATCTAAATGGCTCTGATACCATGTTAGAATAGTGGATTAAGCCTAACTCAACCCTACAAAACCGGCTTGTAAGGTGAGGGTTGCTTTCCACTTATATACTATTCAATTGCCTAATCTCTAGTCGATGTGGGACTTGGGTTTTTCCCAATACACCCCCTCACGTCCAGCACTATTGGGCTTGGTACGTGGATAAATGGTGGGTGGCCCTTTTTAATGATCTAGGATTGGCGGGACTTGGGTTTTTCCCAATACACCCCCTCATGCCTATGAGGCATGCATCAATGGTGGGTGGCCCATTTTTAAAGTGGATCTAAATGGCTCTGATACCATGTTAGAATAGTGGATTAAGCCTAACTCAACCCTACAAAACCGGCTTGTAAGGTGAGGGTTGCTTTCCACTTATATACTATTCAATTGCCTAATCTCTAGTCGATGTGGGACTTGGGTTTTTCCCAATACACCCCCTCACGTCCAGCACTATTGGGCTTGGTACGTGGATAAATGGTGGGTGGCCCTTTTTAATGATCTAGGATTGGCGGGACTTGGGTTTTTCCCAATAATATGTTATGAGTTATGAAGGGTTATAAGGGTTATTGGTTATCACCGAATCTAACCTGCGGCTCTAATACCAGAGTTAGGGTTATGGGGTTATTTGTCTGAGGAGATATTTTATGAAAGTTATTTTTATAAAGTTATTATCTAACCTGCGACTCTGATACCACTGATGGAGGTTATTGGTATTTGTCTGAGAAGGGATATTAATGATGAGATATTATCCGTTTTGGGTCTTAGCCCTCACGGTTTTGCTTTTAGTCATTACCTAAAAGGTCTCTCAATCATTGAAGTATATTTATATTATATAAATTATTATTTGTTGTGTTATTTTATCGATCTGAGACTTGTTTGTATCTCAATAATGCATCACAACAATGTTAGTTGGATTTGATGTCCGAGTCGACTTAATGACATATCATGGTTCATGATGTAATAGACATGGTGATAACTGACACAAGTAACACATTATTGAAAAGAGAGAAAACTGAGAGATAATGGGTTCTAGAAGAGATCGAACTTCATACCTTTTTGTAACCTGTAGGTAGAATCTGTTCAAAGGTGATTGCATTGCAGCTTTATATTCCTTATGCTATACGATTACCAGTTAAGTCATGACGTGATAAGAATTGAGAAATTGTTTGGTTCTGAGAAGTATACTTGTGGATCCGTCCAAGAGTTTTTGAAACACGGGAGATGATAATAATCATATATTGCTAAAGACAGGAACTAGCGTTAACCAAAACTACACACAAACTCAACCTTTGAACCAAAACAAAACTCAAAACTCCCTTAACTAAAGCAATGATCAAAATCAAGTAATTAGTTGACCCTAAAACATACGAGTTTTAAATCATCATGATGCAATGACCAGGACCAGCATATTTGTAAATTGTAGAATGTTTTTCATTTATATATATATTATTATAATCTTATTTATAGATAATTTAAGATTTTTAATACATTTTTTTACGCTAAAGATCGGATAAGCCCATCAGTAGGTAGGTCGATGTGATCCATCAGCAAGAAATAAAAATATGGCTACGCATGCATTTGTGTGTTGTATCACTTAATTATCTTTGAAATGGTTCGATGTGAAAGATGAAAAGGAAGGTCAGGCAAAAGTGTACATGTGACTCACGAGAGCGAGGGACACCGCAAATTATAGGCTTTTAAAACACAATTCATAACAAAGGTTAAAATATTTTTTTTTAAAAGTAATTTCACTTATTTTACTTTTTTATCTTTAATCTTTATATTTTAAGATAGATTATTTTATATATTTAATTTTTCAATATTTTTTAGTCTATATAATTTAAGATATATCTTTTTAATTTTTATACTTGTAGTTTTTTAATCTTTTTAATTCTTATTAATAATTGTTTTTTAATATTATCTCAATTTTATTAACATAACAGAAATATTAATTTAACTTTTTATGTTTAATGTTGAATTTATTTTGTCAAAATTATTATATATTAGTTTTTTCTGTCATTTCATGTTTTTTTTTTTTTTTTTGTAAAGATAGATGGTCATAACGAGGATTGAACTTAGGTCCTCATATTTCTAACTACCTCAACCTCTCCCCACCCAACCACTAGACTAATTCTAGTAATCACATTTTATATATGTTCTGTACCTAATTAATAATGTCTAATATTGAAACATTTTTTTTATTACAAAATTAATTTTTTTTTACCTTCAATACAAAACAAACAACTTTACAAAAACAAATTAACCACAGGAACCGAAAGGATTGCAAAATTATATATATAATAACTAAAAAATATATCTTAAAATATAAGAACAAAAAATTGAAAAAAATAAATATAAAGATTAAAAAATCTATTTTAAACTATATGACAAAAAATACAGTAAGTAAAATTATAATAAAAAAAATACTTTAACAATTTACAAATAAAGTTTTCACATTAACAATATAATTTAAATCCACGTCCCATTCTGACGAAAGTTTGGTCTATTAAATAACATTTAAATTTAACAATATAATAATATCTACTAATAAATATATTATTCATTAATATAATCTATTTTAAATTTACAAATATAAAATAAAATAATTACTTTTGTGTCACTATGTTATCAGTATTAAATATAAAAAAAAATTAAAAGGTCTCCCAATCACGTTTTTTATTTTCAAACCTTAATTCCAAAGTGAAAATATTGTTTAAACGATTGAACTCATTTCATTCAAACTCACAAATCTGATAGATAAAATAATTATATTATTGGTGTCAAATATTTACTTATTTTTTCATAACTAATTTTTACTTAAAAAACTTGATACTTATGAAAATTGAGTATAATTTCACTTAAAAATAATTGTTTATAATAAAATAATAATGACCTGATCATAAAATATTAGCATCACATTTTTTTTTGTTTGGAACAGCATCACCTTATTATTATTATTTTTAAATAAAAAATAATAACATTCGAGTAAAACAAAAATTTCAAAAGATTCTAATTTAAATAAAAAATAAGTTTTTCCCGATTCATAAAATTCCCGCCTCACTTAATAATATAATTAAAAAATTATTTATATATATATATAAACTAAAATTAAAAATATTTATATGTAAAAATTTATATTATTTTACTTTTCTTTTATTTTTTTTTACAATTTGTTCATATTTATTTAA